AAAAAAAAGGAGAGTAAAAAAAGGGCTGGGCAGTAGAGGACTTACGGACAGAGCAGAAAAAAAAATATCAGAATTGAGAGAGGAAAGGTGCTGGTGCAGAATTTACAGACCAGCCGCACAAATTCGATCATCGCCGGAGATCCAGCCGTTGGATTGAGCTGAAATTTTCAGAGGTTGTTCCCAACACTTAGGGCTTCAATCTGTTCAATTTTCACATCAATCGGAGCTACGGATCTTTTGTAATCGCAGCGGGTGCGACGCTGCGTTTTTGGGTGATAATCCTGATTTTCCTTCTCTATTGTTGATGCCTCTTATGTATGTTGTTGTTGATGGGCTGTGACATCCTTGTAGACTGAGTTTGGGTGTTTTTACCCTCAATTTGCATAATAAGAGAAGAAGAGGGCGGACTCCCTATAAGTCCCGTGGTTTTTATCCTTCACATCGAAGGGGTTTTCCACGTATAAAAATCGAGTGTCGTTTGCATCTTTGTTCTTCATATTTGGTTGTGGTTTATTTGATGTGTTGCTGATTTTATGTGCTTGGTTAATCAATAGTGGTGAATTGGGTTAAGTGTTTGGTTGGTTGTCTTGAAGTTGATCCTTGTAGGTGGTGCATCCTACTTGTTGCTTCTCCCCCAACAGAAAATACTTGATATTCCAGCCCAATACCATTTGGAACCACTTTTTTACGGTCTCCGGTCTACCACTACTCATTGTGAATCCGGTCATGCTCCAAGTTGGTCTGGTCATTTGAAAGCTCTGCTCCCCACTTCAATGTGAAAGAAATACAGGCACATTGCTATACAGCTCATGAACATTAGATGTTATGGGGAGACTCGAGGTTTCTATGTTGCTCTGTTAGATAAATTAATGGTTCTTACTTCTCCTCTCTCTCTCTCTTCCCCCCGATAAACCTCCACCCGCCCAAATTTGATCCACCCCGTCAATTGCGCCCCACAATATTTAGTTGACTTTAAAGTCATATTTTGACTTCAAAGTCAACTAATTTTTTTGGACACAATTGACGAATGTGGGGTGGGTTCAGATTAGTGTGGGGGTTAGAGAGAGTAAGAACTATCAATTTTTCAAACAGAGCACCGTAAGAACCTTAAAGCCGCCCTCATGTCATAGGATGACATAGAGGGCTAATGTCATGGGCTGAATACAATCATACAAAATGTTCATGTGATCAAAACTTGGTATCATGCTAAGCTGCACTGAAACATGACGGAGACTCATGCAGGGACAAGATCGGGAACGAGAAACACCCTTTTTTCTCAAATTTTACAAAGAACTTTTGGTATCAGAATGTCTGTATATACCCTAACATGGACGTTTTGGGGACAAGAAATGACACTTGTTTGAAAAATATGTGCAACATAGGTATCATATATGCTCCAACTCCTCCATCAATATGCACGTCAGAATCTATATATGTTAGATGCATTAACACGTACACTCGAGTCAAATGGTTCACTACTCACTCTGCATCTTTGACTTCAGCTTCCACGTCAACAACGACAGCGGAGGATTTTTTGCCTGTTAAAAGCAATGCAAGAACTTTGAGCAACTAAGCAAACTTTCACTCCACAAAGATGTGTTGTGTTATGCAAATGATTCATGAAAAACTTGCTTTAAGACTTGGGTTCTGTCTAGTATGAGGATGTCTTTGGTTTGCACTTTTATATTTTAAGAATGTGGAATGGTTTAACACAATATTTGTCATTGCATAAGAAGAAAAAGATATATTCGTAGTTAAAAGAAACTCAACCTTTCTTGGAACGTGAAGTGAAGTCGTTGGTTGCTTGGTCAAATGAAGTTGGCTGATTGGAGAAATTTGAAGGGTCCTTTACAAATGCATCGCCAACAACTATCCAATAGACAGAAAGAAAATTACGTAAGAACACGTTATAAAAATATTCAAACTTATGAACTCTACCCAGCACATTGAAAAGCTGAAAATTTGATAAAGATTTGCCTTGTTGTGGTCATTGTAGGAACAACTAGAGGTCTAGGATTAGAATAGTTGGTTAGACCTTTGAACCTTAGTTTGAAATTTATGTGTGTGTTTTTATGCCTTAATCTATAGCTTATGCACGTGCTTTTTCTGCATTTTTGGGTTCTAGTTTCTGGTGTAGATACTGTGTTTATTTTGTTTTTCTATGTTTGTGTTTGTGGTGGGGTCTCTTGGAAACAACCTCTCCTACTTGGTAGTAGGGGTAATATCTACGTACACGCACCGTCCCCAGACCCTAATTTAATGGGATTTTCTTAGGTTTATTGTTCTTATAATTGGGTTGTGGTCACTAAACTCATACACAACGCACACGAGCTAAACCGCATTAGAAAATTTGAATTGTTCAAGATCTTATAGACTCATATGTCTCTCTTTAAAGACTCTACATGGGACTCTTTAAGAAAGAGTCAATCCCAAAAAAATATTGACTTACCACTAGTCTACAAAGTGACACTGCAAAAAATTCTACCCCAAATTCCAAATATTATGGGGAAATACGATAGCTTAATGCTGATCTAAATCTTTTCTTGAGAGAAACGTGCGGAAAACTAACACTATGGTTCAAAAAAGAAAATAAGAGGGAAATGTTTTTTTATGTTTGGTTAGTGAGAAAAATAAAGGAAAAGTGAGAGGAAAAGAAAAGTGGGGAGAAAATGAATTAAAATAGGGGAAAATCATTTTCCTCCCGATTTCGGACGGAAATCGAGAGAATCCTTCTCGTCACTGAACTCGAGAGAGTCCCGTATCTCACCCATCTCTAAACCCTTCTGAAAATTCTCGCTCACCCATCTCTGAACTCTGATCGCGCCTCTTAGCTCTCAATCGATCATAACCCTAATCGCGATAAAAGATCGCAACCCTAATTGCAATAAACGATCGCCTCTCTCTATTCAATCCTCACTGAATTTCTTCGTTTTCGCTGCCATGTCTTCTCGCCAAAACACATCCATGCCTAGACGTAAGTTTGTGGCACCAAACATAAACCATCAATTTCCTGTGCAAACAACATTTAACCCAATTTTCCATCAAAATCAGAGACCCACAAAAAGCACAATTAGAAGACCCTCTGTTCTTCATTCATCTGAGGTGAGCGGTCATGAATTTGAAGCTTTTTCAAACACTCAATTTGTGCATGATATTGAACAGGTGAGTCCCAGGTTCTCTTCTATGTGTTTGATGAATTGTTATCCTAATGATATGTATGCATATCCTTGAAGCTTAGCTTGTAGATGATGAAGCATGCCTGATTGTTTAGTGCTTAAAATCAGTTTCTATTAAGTTGTGAGGAGTATCTCCCAAATGCACTTGTTTGTGTATACGTATATAAGATTATTATACAACTTACAAGATTCACATTTCACCACAATCGCTTGGAAAAAAATTGTTGCGTAAAAGACCTTTGTAACGAGCCTCATAACCCTCTCTGTATATGCTCTAGCCATATCTTCTAAAGCCATCAAATGGCGAAGAAACTTTGGAGCTCCAAAGTTTATGGAATCCATATCTTCTAAAGCCACAGCATCTGGCATTTGTTAAAATCCAATGATTCTCATGTAGCTAATTCAATATGAAATATATTGGAACATGTTTCTGTTTGTCGAACATTACATTTTACTTCCTCCGTTCTAAACTAATTGCAACATTGGAATTCTCATGCTAGTCAATTCACAAACTAAATTGTTAATATATTTAATTATTTTCTGGTAAAAACATAATATCATTTTTTAGCTAAAATTTATGTTGTTTTCACCTCAACTACCAGTACTCCCATCATCCTAAGATGTTTTTTTTTTTGCAATCATCATTGGGTATTGCATACTATGAAACAACAGTTCTTAATTTGGGTTGAAAGTCCAAACTTCAAAGTGCACACAGATCTAGAACACAAGTCTCTTAATTCTCAAGTTCACTTCAAAATGTATATTTAGAAGTTTATTTTTTTGAACTAAGCTCTCTTAATCTCCCTTGAAGTAAGTAAACCTAGTGAGAAGACCTCTCCCCTCTCCAAAGGTATCTGTGCCCTTTGCATAAATTATTAAATTTATTTAAGAACTAAAAATGCCTCTGCAGAGTAATAAAACCCTTACAGTAATACAATATGAGCCTCATAACCCTCTCTGTATATTCTCCTCCAAGTGGTTTTTGGAATATGACTGCAAGTAGTTTATGGGTGTTCTAAGATAATATGAGCCCCATAGCCATCTTTATATCACTTAGCTTTAAATTCAAATGGGTTCTTGTTGTTTCTTAGTTCTGGAAATAAAGTACAAGAAGTAAAACCTAGCCTGCTGGGGTGTACCAACCAAACATGGATTTCTGCAAATTATCTTTAAGAAACACTGAGAACCCATTTACACTGAGAAACATATTGTATTACTGTAAGAGTTTTATTACTCTGCAGAGGGCATTTTCAGTTCTTAAATAAATTTAATAATTTATGCAGAGGGACCTTTGGAGAGGGGAGATGTCTTCTCACTAGGTTTACTTACTTCAAGGGAGATTAAGAGAGCTTAGTTAAAAAAAATAAACTTCTAAATATACATTTTGAAGTGAACTTGAGAATTAAGAGACCTGTGTTCTAGATCTGTGTGCACTTTGAAGTTTGGACTTTCAACCCAAATTAAGAACTGTTGTTTCATAGTATGCAATACCCAATGATGATTGCAAAAAAAACATCTTAGGATGATGGGAGTACTGGTAGTTGAGGTGAAAACAACATAAATTTTAGCTAAAAAATGATATTATGTTTTTACCAGAACATAATTAAATATATTAACAATTTAGTTTGTGAATTGACTAGCATGAGAATTCCAATGTTGCAATTAGTTTAGAACGGAGGAAGTAAAATGTAATGTTCGACAAACAGAAACCTGTTCCAATATATTTCATTTATATACTACTTTGTCATATTGAATTAGCTACATGAGAATCATTGGATTTAAACAAATGCCAGATTTATGCTGTGGCTTTAGAAGATATGGATTGCATAAACTTTGGAGCTCCAAAGTTTCTTCGACATTTGATGGCTTTAGAAGATATGGCTAGAGCATATACAGAGAGGGTTATTATGAGGCTCGTTACAAAGGTCTTTTACGCAACAATTTTTTTCCAAGCGATTGTGGTGAAATGTGAATCTTGTAAGTTGTATAATAATCTTATATACGTATACACAAACAAGTGCATTTGGGAGATACTCCTCACAACTTAACAGAAACTGATTTTAAGCACTAAACAATCAGGGCATGCTTCATCAAAGGATATGCATACATATCATTAGGATAACAATTCATCAAACACATAGAAGAGAACTTGGGACTTACCTGTTCAATATCATGCACAAATTGAGTGTCTGAAAAAGCTTCAAATTCATGACCGCTCACCCCACAAAGGGTCTTCTAATTGTGCTTTTTGTGGGTCTCTGATTTTGATGGAAAATTGGGTTAGATGTTGTTTGCACAAGAAATTGATAGTTTAGGTTTGGTGCCACAAACTTACGTCTAGGCATGGATGTTTTTGGCGAGAAGACATGGTAGCAAAAACGAAGAAATTCAGTGAGGATTGAATAGAGAGAGGCGATCATTTATCGCAATTAGGGTTGCGATCTTTTATCGCGATTAGGGTTATGACTTGTGATCGGTTGAGAGCTAAGAGGCGCGATCAGAGTTCAGAGATGGGTGAGCGAGAATTTTCAGAAGGGTTTAGAGATGGGTGAGAGAAGGGACTCTCTCGAGTTCAGAGACGGGAATGTTTAGTGACGAGAAGGTTTCAGAGACGAGAAGGATTCTCTCGATTTCCGTCCGAAATCGGGAGGAAAATGATTTTCCCCTATTTTAATTCATTTTCTCCCCACTTTTCTTTTCCTCTCACTTTTCCTTTATTTTTCTCACTAACCAAACATAAAAAAACATTTCCCTCTTATTTTCTTTTCTTTTCCCAGCCAAAATCCTTGAACCAAACATAGTGTAAGTTTATCGTTATTGTTGTCGAAATGTGGTCTATATCATGCCCTTCTTAAGTCACACTCCCTTCAACCCTACTATGTATGCCCTCTTTAGATCCCATATGACATCCGAGCATAGGGTAATTGAATCATTTGTTACCTGAAAATGGTTGGCTACAAGAAGGGCATAGCGACCTGTCATCTTCGTCTAGCGCTGATCTGACGTGGACAAGAAAACATTCAAAACAACAACAAAACAAAATGAAAATTGGAAAAAAAAATAAATCAAAGTCACAAGCTTTGAATAAAAGTGATCTTTTGATCCGAACCATACTTGAAAACTTGAACATCACTTCCGCAATTCGGGCACTGCACATAAGAGATGAGAGATCCAATCAACTAAATTCTAGCAGTCCTTTTTTTTTTCTAATGCAAACTATAAAGATTATTCAGGCACTTGATTGAATGTAAGCAAAAAAATATGGCTCAAAGATAAGAGCCCTTACAGTTCCTGGAAGAATTTCACGACTTGCCCACCAAATGAAAGCTACTATGCCTATTATTGGGAGAAGCCCTGCAAGGATCTGAGGACAAGAGACAAACAAAAAAAATGTTATTCTTAGTTAAGATGTCGATATAAATGTAAACATTCGAGTCATTGATAAACCCAGTATTATTAGCAGAAAGTTAAAAAAACAAGCTAAATTTTAACTTGGAAAGATATTGCAATCAAGGCAAAACAGGCTAAAATTCTAATGATACCATATGATAGATTTAGGATTAGCTAGGCAGGAGTCATTCAACTAGATTAAAAAACACTCACACAAAAGTACACTAAAATATGGAATCCAATTGATTAGCTAGCTCAACTCGAGTCTTATCAAGTCAATTCTTTACTAAAGATTCAAATGTGGGATTCTCTAACACACAACATTGATAAACCCTAATTTTTTTCTACTGCAGGAAGTTAAAGAAAACAATAAGCTAAAATCTAGCAAGCAAATCCCAACAAAAGAATGCAAATCAGAGAAAGCTACCGAAATCAATCAGATTGTATGAACAATGAGGGAAAGAGAATGAGAGAGGACCCAAATAGAAAGAATTGCATCCAAGATCCAACCAAGCTTTCCAGTGAGGGTAAGGTAAGCCAGCACAATAGCCAAAGCAAGATTTGTCAACACACCCACAGTCCCACTTTCATCATCTACTCCTCCTCCCCCGCCACCACCGCCGCCGCCCCTGCCGCCACTAGGAAGACCATTGAATCTGACCAAAACAACTCTCTTCTTCTCTTTCCAAGTCTCTTTCTTTAAGAATTTCCCAATTTTACCCCTTCTAACCTCCAAGATAGCCAACCCATCTACAAAAGGAGCAGCCTTTAATCTTGAAAGGGTGGGAAAGTTGCTGGCTTTCAAAGATTTAAGGCCGTTGAAGAAGCTGTTGGGTTTTCGGATTAAGGAAATGTGTAGGGCGTTACACTCCAAGAAATTGAGAGGAATTTGTATGAGGGATGCCATGGTTTTTGTGCGAGCTGGAGACTGGAGAGCTCATACGGTTCTTCAAATTTGAGGCCGGAAGTGATAAGAGTCATACATACACCTTGACCAAAATGCTATTTTTTGACCCATCACTTCTTCTTTATGCGTATGAAATTATGAAAAAATATAGAATACACTATCTTTAAACTTCTCGTTCACTATTCACAAAATCAAATTTTATTTACTTTGTTGACTTATTTATATGTCTTTTTTATAAAATAATATGGTCATATCACATTTGAATCTTTTCATTTAATTTTTAAATATATAATTTTTATTTTTTAATTCTATACTATTTTTCATATATAAAGATTTGAAAATAATTTTAATCAAACATCGTAACGTGCAACAAGAATTCTATTTATGGACGGATGGAGTATGAATTTATGCTACAATCCACTTTTGAGTTTTGATCGCATTACCTTTATAAACGTTACAAATATAGAATCATGGGTTAAAGATAGACATCACTTTTAATATAGAGTTTGTCCCAAGAGATATAAGTTAAAATTTTCTGGTTTAAGTTCATAAATCTTCACTAAAATTTATTTACAAAATTTTACGTTGTGAGTAGCTAGACTTATTATGAAAAATATTTTTTAAATGTTTTATTTTACAAATACTTAGTAGTGTACAAACACAAATGTATACAGCTAAAGTGTTGTGTTGATTGCTTAAGTCTAAAGTGATAGCAAAAGAAAAAAAACAGACAATTTTCCGAACGGTTGAGGTAAAAAATACAGTTGAATCGTTGCAATATTACTCCGTATTTTCCAAATTCGTTGATGACATCATGAGTTGAAAATAGTTCTAAACAATTTACTCCATATATGGTTATTGAAGTTTCTTTAATTGTGAAAAGACTTCTAATTGTAATTCTAACAAAATCCCAATCAATGTTAAACACCTCACAAAGATTTAGTTGACTTCCAAAAATATCTAAAAAGACCAAAACTTGGGGGAAATGCTTCAATGGTGATAATTTCATTTGTGCTTGAAGCCAAAAGGCTTGTTTGGTAAGCACTCTTAGCTTGAAAAAGAAAACCACAAGTGCCAAAATTGGAACAAAAAAGACACTGTTAGGTCTATTACAGGTTCTAAGTAACCATTTGAAAGAAATGGGACATATAGAGACCATTCTTGACCATATTCCAACAATACAAAAACCATTTTTTTAGTCTTTCTTTTTGTCTGCAGAGCCTGCAGGAACGGTAGCTTGGCTGCGGTAAGGTTCAGCTGTATACGCGACCTGCTGAAAGTACGCAAAGAAAACCATTTCTACGACCACCAAAATGTTCTGAAGCGCTTCTTGGATATGCTCCACGTCAAACCAAACGTGGTGTGATTTTATTATGCCCAATGCCGCAAGAATCTCAAGGGCAATTCCCTGTGGAAAAAGAAAAGGTGTTGCAGTCTTGATAACCATGAGACATATCCATTATGGGGAGATAACTTGAGAAGATCAAAGGGTATAACTTATTGTGTTTTCTTGTTAGGTAAATAAAGGGCTAACCGAGTAAAGAGAGATTGAAGTTAAACTAACCTGCCAGAAACAAAAGAAGACAATTCCTTTGACGCACAAGAACTTGGCAAGCGGCTTGTGGGGTGCTAACTCTTTTGCAAACACGTGGTAGAAGACCACGAGGGAATATAGAGCTAGTGAAACAGAAATGTTCAAAATGATGGTGAATATCCAGCTAACCCATGTGGGGTACGCTCCAAGAAGTTGCAGAGCGATCATTAAGATGGAACACACCGGACGGATCACAACAAATTGCCATGTCCAGTCTTTCAGTTGTTTCAATGTGTAATGGTTTAGTTGGACTGTGTGAGGCTGCAGTTTATGTACACAACATCAAACCAGGCAACAACAACCAAGTAAAATCCCCCTACTGAAAACCCACTACCCAAAAAAACTTATAAGTTGTTGAGCTTATTATGTCGATTTTTTTTACAAAAAAATGCACGTCTACATATGGAAGATGGTCATTTAACATTCATTCATGCCTTCTCAAAATTTCCATCTTTGCTGAGCAAATGCACTTCTGTAGTTTTATCCATATGTAGACGTGCAGTCTTTTTAAAGAAAATATCAATATAACAAGCTCAAGTGCTCAACAACATATAAAGCTGGAGTAAGATTTCAATCTTAATACATAAACAAAAGGTTGAGAAATTTATCTCTTATATGGTGAGTGAAATATAGGTAATTGCCCAGTGTGTGATAATTCAACGGCTAGAGATACTATGCTTATTACTTCTTTTAGAAATCTATGCTTATCCATTTTCAAGGAAAGGTTTGCCTATATTACACACTTATGGTAAGACCCTTTCCCGGATCTTGATGCTTTGTGCACTTGACTACCCATTTAAAATGTATCCATCTTTAATAAGAAAAAAAAGGGAAATCTTTATGATACCTGGAAGAGGGTAATTGGGAATGAGTGATGAATCTCCCTTCCCTTGATCTCATCGGGCACTATATTTTTGCTTATGGATATATTCAGATATGTGTACATCAAACCTAAAAACTTAGCCATCACCTACGATTTTAAAAATAGATATCCGTTGGTAACACCAAACCATCCTCAAAGAATGGTGAAAAAGACTTCAAAAAACACATTGAGAAGAATGATGCCGTCTTACGAGAGCTTCATAACATTCCTTGATAGACTCAAGAAATGTGAAGAACGTGTTACTCCCAAGAAAATCAATCAACCCAATGTAGGAGACAACGGCATACAAGGGAGCCATGAAGATTATGATAAGGATGGCACTTTGCTCCTTTGGCTTTTTCCATGAAACGCTGTGTTGCGATGCAAGTCGTATAGTGAAATTCAAGGTGAGCATCAAACACACAGTGCAAAATGTCATTGTCATATTAACCGCCTCCATTTTCTTCCCCAATTTATGTTCTGCACATAACAAGTGAAATGATCAAAATATGGGTGTCTTAGTGTCTGGCTCACAGAATTAAATCTTAATTAGTCTGAAGTTATTACAAATCCATATGAACATCAACAAATAAGTCTTTGATACCATCTAAAAAACTCAACGTTGTGATTAAATACCCAGAAAAAGTTTTTTATACACTAAGAACTTCTATATATGGATCATGGATGATTAGGAAGGTTTCTCAATGTTAATTAAGCAGTCAATCCATGACTAATTAGGAAATGGGATATAGTACGGAGTAATAAACAAACTGCCAAATATATGGAATACTAATCATAAAGCTTGAATCTTTTTACAATTTTAGGTGCCCAATCAATCATTTAGATGGAAAAAGAACTAACTGCATTTGTTACAATGAATCTTGAGAACACCAGGAAATAAAGAAGAAGAAAAAGAGCTTACAGAGTTGATACCGATCGTCGGCTTGATCAGATGTGGGGAGAAATTGAGAGAGAGGGAAAGATAAAGAAGCGTTGGATTGGCAGATCTGTGCTTCCTACAGAGAAAGCTCCATAAAGAATTTGGGTTTCACATTGAAGCAGGAACACGTGATGATGTAAATGCCTGATCAAGAAAATGGTGGGGATGACTGATGAAGAAGAGTCAAGTCGGGAGATAGTGAAAGAGAGTGAGAGAGACATTGGCTTTGTTCCGATTTGGATAGGAAATGAAAACATGATATCAATAAAAAAAATTAAAAGAAAAGAAAATGAGAGGAGAAAAAGAGCTATAGTGAGGAAAAATAAATTTTGGTCAGGAAAAAGAGAGCAAATGAGCAATCATTTTCTTTTTTTTTTCTCATTAATTTCTCGAACCAAACATAGCGAAGAAAAAAAGAAAAGAAAGCAATTGAAGGAAAAGGTGAATATGTGATTAAATCAAGACATTTGTAACCCTACATAAAGCGACAAAAGTGCTTAAGGAATAAACAATGCTCTGTAAATTACAAGAGAGCAAAGGGCAAACCTGTCATTCCCTCCCTTTTTCCATTGCAAACAAATGGAAGAAAAAGTTTAGGAATTTGTGTTTTCATCTCTCTAATTTTCTTTTCAAGTTTTCTCCATCCAAACCTAGGGATAATGTAGTACTTCATCCGTCTTTCTTACTTCATTCGCTCTAAATGATTTTACATACTTTACTATTTAAAAATTGCAGGAACTTTGCTTATTTGTGTCTTTTCATTGACTATATGATGATATAAAAAATTCTTGTCACTTCTTATTTTATAAAATTTTTGATGTACTCTTCAAATATGTAAGTTTTATTTTTTATTTATATATAAATTTTTAAATAAAATGAATTGAAAAAACTAGGATTTTACTTTGTTTTGCATAAATGATAAATAATTTAGGGACGAAAGGGGTATATCATTTCATTACGCATTACGAGACTTGATCTATTTTATTTTTAATTTAATTAATTTGATTGTAGATACAAATTTTAAAATTAATTTTTAAGTAAATAACTACATTAAAATTTCAACAAAATAAAAGTTAGATGTGAATATATGAGCAAACAAAGCTAGTTAGAATTTTCAATCTACAATGTAAATGCTCTAGGGCCAGCCCAATGGCGGGCAAAGGTGGCCTACCAACGCAGACCAATCTTTTAAGGGGGCACATTTTGTCGGGGGTTTACGGCAGATTGGGGTGGGGGTGCAGGGGCGGGGGTAGGTTGGGGGATTAGGAAGTGAGTTAGGGGAGTTAGAAACTGTCAATTTTATGAACGGGGCACTGAAAGTGCTTCAAAATGACAGTGACACCGCTAATGTCACCAAAAGCCGATGTCACTAGAACCCCACCGATTCTTTTTGTGTCTCATTTGTTACAATTTACGATATACAATGGCCCCATTTGAGAATAGCATTTTCAATTAGCATTAGCGTTTTCGATAAAATTCTAACGGTGTAAACTTTGAAAACGTTAACACTAAACACTGCTCGTAGATAATTTTTTTTAAAAATACTAACGCTAACCTCTCTAACGCAGTCCCAAACAAATCCAATATAATATTCGTTAATGCATATTTTTGGAAACACGTCAATCAATTTTTTCAAGATCAATTTGGAATTTGGAGTTGTCACAATAAAAAATATGTTCGGAATGAAAAATCAAGTGAATTACCCAATATGATTCTTGAGGTATTACATCATATTTCAAAGTGAGAATTACCAAAGGATTGACTTGATAGTGAATATTGAATGAAACTCAAGATTGCAATAACAAGAGGAGTCACACCATGTTCTCTTCACCTGATCTGAATGATTCTAATCTGATTAGAATAAATTCTGATTTGGTCTGGTTTAATCTGAATGTAGTTATATTTAAATTGTTTTTGGTCTTATCTAATCTAGTCTGATTTCAATAAGAATAATTAATACGGAGTAAGTAAAAAATAAGTCCAAGTAAACATGGCCTCAGTCTGAGAATGAAAGTTGTGAAATGCTGACCTAAATTTGAAAATATGGAATTTAAATATTTGCGATTAAGGAATATGTTGGAAAAAATAGAAAGCACGAAGGCATTTGGTAACATAGTTTAGGAAGGCTGGGCACCAAACAGAGCCTAAGAGGCAAACCAAAGAGTGTCAAGATTGGAACCAGAAAGATACTGTTAGCTGTACCTAATTACATATAAGTACCCATTTGGAAAGATGTGGGATATACAGAGACCATTCTTGACCATCTTCCAACAATCCAAAAAAAAAACATTCTTTTTAGTCTTTCTTTTCGACTGCAGTGCCTGTTGCAACGGTAGCCTTGCAACTGTAAGGTTCAGCAGTATACCCATAATCCAGAAAGCACTTCAAGACATGCATTTCCGCAAGCACGAGAATGTTCTGAAGGGCTTCTGGGATATCCTCCACGTCAAGCCAAGCATAGTGCGATTGTATTATGCCCAATGCAGCAAGAATCTTAAGGGCAATTCCCTGGGGAAAAAAAGAAGACGAGTGCAGTCTTAGTAACTGTAAGACACATTAATAATAAATGTTGAACTCTGTGAGCTCGCTTTTTAAGCATGTATTCCTTTTATGGCCAATTTGTGAAGGGGGGGAAATGATTTCCAGNGGCTATGCTGGATTTTGGGCCTGAGGGATAATTAATTGATAGGCCTAATAACAAACATTACGTGTAGGCACGGTCCATTGTAATTAGGTAGCCAATTTACACAACACACATGATGTGTTGTACATGGGGAGGTTGTTTGTGTGAGCCTTGCACATGAGTGTTTTTTTAAAAGTGGTTGCGGTGACATTCACTATTTTTTGGCTTTAGAGTGTGATGGAATAAAGCAAAATGACTCTTTTAGCTATATGTGCTTCTTTTGATAGTGGAGTGGCTAGTCAATGCAACTTTTGACGTAAATGTGAACTCTCATAAGCTTTGATACTGTTGTAATAACTCATGCAAATGGGCATTTGTGTTTATATATTTGTCAAATGTGAGAACACTTGAGAAAATTGAAGGGTAAAGCTTAACGTCTTAATGTGGGTTTCTTACTAGGAAAATGAAGGCCTAACATAGTAAGGGGAGATTGAATTTAAACTAACCTGCCAGAAACAAAAGAAGACGATTCCTTTGATGTAGAAAAACTTGGGATATGGCTGGTAGGGTGCTAACTCTTTTGCAAATGTGTGGTTGAAGACCACGAGTGAATAGAAAGCTAGCAAGACAGAAATGTTCAAAATGGTGGTGAACGTCCAGCCAACCCAGGCAGGGTACACTCCAAGAATTTGCAGAGCGATCATTGAGATGGAACACACCGGACGGATCACAACAAACTGCCATGTCCAGTCTTTTAGTTGTTTCAATGTGTAATCGTCTAATTGAACTGTGCGAGGCTGCAGTTTATGTCCACAACAGCAAATCAGGTTTATATGACTATTACTACAACAACCACAGAAAAATCCCATTAAAGCGGGGTCTGAGGAGGGTGTATGTAAGCAAATCATACTCCTACTCAGAAGATAAGAGGTTGTTCCAAGAATGAATGTCAGGTTTATATGACTGAACCAAAAAATTGTACTAAGTATTTAAAAAAGACATGAAATTTTTGAGAAGGCATGAAAGAATGTCAAATTACCATCATTTGATCAGCAAATGCACTTCTAAAGTTTTGTCCATAGGTAGACGTGCAGTTTTTTAGTAAAAAAAATATAGAGAAACAAGGTTAAATTTTAAAGCAGGATTAAGAGTTCAATCTTAAAACATAAACAATAAGGTTGAAAAATCTATCTCTATCTCTTATATGGTGAGTGAAAAATATGGGTAATTTTCCCATGTGTGATAGTTCAACAGCATCTGTGTATTATGTTTATCCATTTTCAAGGTAACATTTGCCTATATCACACCCTTATGGGTTACGGCAGGACCCTTTTTGAGATATTGATGCTTTTTGCACTTGACTACCCTTTTAGAATGTATCCATCTATTATAAACAAAGGCAAATACCCTATAATACCTGGAAGAGGGTAACTGGGAATGAGTGATGAATCTCCCTTCCCTTGATCTCATCGGGCACTATATTTTCACTCATGGACATATTCAGGTACGTGTACATCAAACCTAAAAACTTAGCTATTGCCTGCAATTTCACGGGTGATTAGTCGCTAGCAACGCAAAAAACATATCTAAAAGAAAAAAGTGAGACGAATGATGTCGTCTTACAAGAGCTTCATAACACTCCTTGACAGTCTTGAGAAAAGTGAAGAGCATTTTGCTCTCGGGAGAATCCATCAAACCAATGTAGCAGACAACGGCGTACAAGGGAGCCATGAAGATGATGACTAGTATGGCACTTTGCTCCTTCGGCTTCTTCCATGAGAAGTAGTGACGCAACCCATTTTGTAAGGCGCACAATATGGTGAAGTTCACACACGTAAAGCACCATAACATTAGCTTAGTCCCCTCCATTTTCTTCTCCAATTTATCTTCTGCAAATAACCATTGTTGATCTTCTTTTCGGATATGTATGAAATATGCAGAAACCAATTAATGGTAAATATAGAAAACAAACAAAAATAGGATTCTTCAGTTCTAATTTTGCGTATATATCCATAAGTTCCAGAAATAAACTGAAACATCAAAGTTTGTGCCGGGAAAGAAATCAAAAAAAAAATTTGTAGATCCACAAAAAAAAATCTAGAAATCCACTTAAAGAAATCGCAGATCCACAAAGGATTTCTAATCCTTTTGTATAGTTTTTTTTGTAAACGGAACATAAAGAAACGCAGATCGGCTATTTCCAATTCCTACAGTATCCCCGCTATCTTTATCAGACGGAAACGAAAACAAAGAATAAATTCTATTTTATAAATTATCCGTTGGGGAGGCAAATGTGTCATCAGTTTATCTTCTGCAAATATTCAAAACACGGGAGTTTATCTTACGGATTCACAGAACCGCACTTCATTAGTCCACTGAAATTTTTACAAATCCATATGCAACTCGTGATTCTAGGTCACCCAACAAAGGTTTGATACCATACAACCAAAATTGCCAGAAAAAAGTTTAATATACTCTAACAACTTCTATATCCGGCTGATTAGGAAGGCTTCTCATATCTAATTAAGCAGTTAATCCATGAATAATTAGGAGATGGAATACAGTAATGAAAAAAAACTACCATGTAATAAACCCTAAAAGCTCGAATCTCTTTACCAAATAAAATTTAAGAGAGGAAAAAAATAGGATACAGAGAGCTTACAGAGTCGAGCCGCAGAGATGAAGATTGAAGAAGTTCCAGAGAGAAATTCTCTTTCACGTTGAAGCGAGAAGAGAAAAAGCCTAGCCGAAATTTTGTTCGGGTGAGATGATAGGTGAATGTGACACCGGCCCAAATGGGCTTGCCTTCTAAGAGATAATAAGGGCTGGGAATGCTTATATTAATGTTATAGTTTTAAATAAAATTTTAATGATGCAGATTACTTTAAAAACGATAATGCTAAACATTGACGTAGATAATCTTTTTAAAATGCTAACGCTAATCTCTCACGTCATTCCCAGACAGGCCCTATGACAACAAATGTATTGATTAAAATTATTTTTAATTCATTTTATTTTATTACATGTAAAAGATTAAAAAATCATATAAAAAAGTTACATCCAAAGTTACAAAAAATATGAAGTGATATTATTAGGTTATTTTATCTATTGATTAGATAAAAATAGTTAAATAATTGGTTAAAGTTTATCTATATGGAGTAACTAAAAATAATGTTTTACAATGAATGGAGAAACAAAAAAATCTACCTAAAATCCATTAAAAAAATCAAACTTATATACAAATAAGACTTTTTATATTTGTTTCTCTTAAAATCTTAAATAAAAGTATTGATACTCTGCAATATCCATAAATCAAATTAGTACTTCGTGTTGTTTTTTGATTGAGTTTGTTTTAAACGTGAAGTGGTTCCCTCTCTTCCAGAAAAAAAGAAAAACATTAAAGTAGGCGTAAAATATTTAAAAATATACCAAAATAGAAGTTCTGTGTTTTTATTCTCGAAATAAGAGTTAAAATGCATTTACATTACCAATCATGACCATTTACATTACCAAAAAATATAATAAAATATACATGTACAGTGTCACATTACCGCATCGCAAAGTCCTATTTAATGAATAAAACCTTGGAATTAATTGAGAAGAAAATTTATATTTTTTTAAACTTTAAAATAATGTATTAATATTTTTTTAATACTATTGATTCGATCATAATGTAGTACTCCGTATATATTTATATCTTTACTCAGACTCAAACCTCATTTATTTAATTTTTTTAAAATATTACTATTAATTAATAATTTGTTATAATAGTATAATACACACACATACACACACACACACACCAATAATGAATATAAAAATAAGAAAAAATAAAAAAATATCCATAAGCATGGTTGGTGACGAGAGATCAATTCATTACGGAGTATATTCCTTTTAGAGATAATAGTATATGAATATCCAAATGAATTGGTGAAGTTGAAACAACAATCTGCATTTATTTGAACAAAATACACACTATTACCCTCTAAATGATATCAACAACAACAGTGACAATGGTATATAAATCAATCTCGTGGTAACATTTACAGCACATATGATCAAATTTCCAGTATATAAAACAATGTATGTAAAGACCAAAACTCCTATTAAAAAAACAATGACATGAATGGTTTGATCTCACCGTCCCCGCGGGTTCACGAGCTGCGAGAAGACAGCAGTCGTCGCAGCATCCTCGTCCACATCATCGTCCGTCGTTGCAGCCGAGTGACGACTAGCGATCGCCTCGATCGAACCCGAGCTGTTCTCGAACCGCGACAGCGGGATGTGGTTGGTGCTGCTGTCGGCGGGGTCCGCGAGGGCCCACGAGGCCTCCTCGAGCTGCAGGGCGTACTCCAAGTTCCACAACACGTCGCCCATCGAGGGCCGGTCGGCCCCGTGCTCGGCCAAGCACTTCTCGGCCGTCTCCGCGTACTTCTTCAGGGAGGCCGGGCCCACCTTCCCCCCCTTCAGGTTGGGGTCGATGACCTGGCCCAGCATTCCCTTCTTTTGCCACGTCATCGCCCACTCGGCTATATTGACCTGGTCCCGCGGGAGGACCGGGTTCAGGGCCGGCCTGGTGCAGAGGACTTCCATTAGGACCACCCCGAACGAGTACACGTCCGACTTCTCCGTCAGCTGTTGCCTCCGGAAGTATTCGGGGTCGAGGTACCCGAAACTGCCCTTGACGGCCGTGCTGACATGGGTTTGGTCAATGGCGGGCCCGGTTTTCGAGAGGCCGAAATCGGCGACTTTGGCGACGAAGTTTTCGTCCAAAAGTATGTTCGTGGTCTTCACGTCGCGGTGGATGACGCTCTGGGCCGCACCCGTGTGGAGGTAGTGCAGCCCCCGAGCGGCGCCGATGCATATCTCGAGCCGTTGCTTCCACGGCAACGGCCGGAGGTGGGTCCCGTATAGGTGGCTCCGCAGCGGCCCGTTTGCCATGTACTCGTAAACGAGAATCATCTCGGACCGCTCGTCGCAATAGCCGATCAACGACACGAGGTGACGGTGGCGGAGCCTCGAGAGCATTTCTATCTCGGTTCGGAACTCGGCCATCCCTTGCTCGGATCTCGAGTTCCCTCTTTTCACGGCCACATGGGTCCCGTCGTCCAGCGTGCCCTTGTACACCCTACCGAAACCGCCAACCCCGAGCAGCAAGGCCTCGTCGAATCTGTTGGTGGCGTCCGTTATTTCCTGGAACGAGAAGAATCTCCCGAGGCTAGAGGAAGCCGCCAAGGATATGCAGCTTGGCGTTGCTCCTCCACTCTTTTGGGAAGTTGTGGACATTTTAGTCATGGTTAAAGAGTTTCCATATAAGGAAAGTTGAAGCCATGGATGTCCATGTTCATGGTGCTTCGACATTCGTGTGGCCAGACAGAAGCAACACAATCCAGAAACCAGCAAAGCAGACAAGCCACCAACAACAGAACAAACAATGATGACAAACCTTTTCTTCTCTTCCTCTTTTTTAGGGAAACCCAAGAGAGTCTCGACGGGCGAATCTCCATCCAAGCTTCTAGCGGCATTGCTGATCTTCATGATCTCCAACCCATTCATGATCGCGTTGTAGTAATCGTCACTTTGGCCAGGACCCACACTCACGGTCAGTGTACCCGACCTAGAACCGGAGGATGCGTTGGACACAAAATCCCTATAATATGGGACATCCAAGTTACCGACTTGATTGGATAAGTCAAATTCAGCCAAAGCAATGTCGTCGTTGATATAAAGGTCAAAAACCAGCATGTTCAAAGACTCACTCACTATATCACAAAAATGAACTCTGACCAAATACGTGAAATTCGAATCCACGGGGAAGACCCAAGAGATGTTGAAATTCTCATTTATGACATTTGCTTCGCCCATAGTCTCAGCAGTCGCATAAACCCAATTCGGTGCAACTTCTTGTGTGACAGTCGCCGGATACCTTATGCTCAAGGGACTCACAGACATATTCACAGCAGAGCTGTTTATGTGGAGGTACTTCATATCATTCTCCCAAGTCCTTCCTAGTGTATCGTTCTGTGGGGTAAGCAGAGGGCCACCCATGTTAAGCCGGTAAACTGTTTCAAGGGCAAATCCGGAAAGACCATCAAAAGATCCGGGAGGGTAAACGATCGGCGCCTTTTCGGGGATCAACTCATCTGGAAAGGAAACAACTTCAATGGCATTCACAAATGCTATAGAGCTGTTGGATGGTATGAAAGTGAGAGTCAATGTATCAGAAGATATGTTGATCGCATACTCTCTAAAGAGATACGACGAACGGTTATATCTTTTGAAACTGAAATTGTTCAAAAGAACATAGCTTTCTGCAGTTACGGTGATGGAGGCAGATGTTAGGTTCTGGGCTGGGATCGGATAGAAATAGAGACGAACCCAATGGCGGCCCGGTTTCTTGATATCAAAGCTGTAAGATGATGGGGCGGTGAAAATTCTAGCAGATTGATAAATAGGGGATGGGGGAGTTGAATTTGTGGCAGCAGAAACAACATTTCCCACAGTTTTCAGAGTGAATGAGGATATAGGCGGCGAATCCGGGATGTACGTCTGGCCAAGAAATGTGACATTCTTGGAAGATCCACATACAATCAAGAATTCATCCACAGGACTGAAAGCAGAAGCTTTACCCAGTAACCCTAATAACATGAATGCTACAAAAACACCAGAAACCAAAGGCTTCCTTTTCTGTCTCCTCAAATTCACCATCTTAAGAATCAACTGCAATAACCCCTCAAATTGCAATTCAAGATTTGAACATCTATCTACCCCAGTCAAATCCCAGAAACTGCAACAGTCAATTCTCAACAATCCAGCAGAAATTTACCAAGAATACACCCAAATCATCAGTGTTCGTATAAAGTAAAAGAGGACAAAGCTCTATAAGAAAGAACATCCATTGGAGAGAAGAAAAATGGATAAAAATTCAATCTTTTTTCCAAATTCCCACTGCCCTTACCTTACTAGTGAGTGAATGGAGCAAAGAACTCTGAGAATGCTGAAGAAAATGAGGACTGTGGGTATGGGTCAGAACTGAAAATTGAGGAAGAAATTAGTATAATGGCTTGAAGCTCAACCCCAGAATGAAGGGAGAGACAGATCAGAGGCTTTATTTTTTTTCTAGTGGGAGATGAAACAGCCCTTTCCAGGCTGGTTGATTATAGGCTGTCAATTTTCTACAGAGAAAAATTTGCGAGGAGAAACGGGTCGGACCCACCATGACCCGAGTTGCAAGAACAGCTGTTTTCATTGTGGTTTGATTTTTTATGTACTGACACTTGATTACTCTTGTAGTACTAGAAGAAGATGCCATGCAATTAGAGTTAATCTGCATTGATTGAAGTTCCCAAAGATTGGACTTTGTACTTTGTAGCTCTACAGTAGACCCTTGACAATCATAGTCGAGATAAGAAAATATGCGGTGCGCTCCCACGGCTGAAATTGCATTCCCTTTGATGAGTTTGATAAACAAAATTTGGAACACTAGTTACCTTAATTGGTACAGTGCAACTAAATATACCTTTTATTTGTGTAAAAGATAAAAAGAGTAAGAGTTGTTTGAGGTCGTGAAATTTTTTTTTGAGATGCCAAAAAACGCTGCATAATAACTTCATCATCAATGCTCCTAAAAATTTATTTCTCAAAGTAGCACAACAGACAATCTGATAAAAGCTCATCTCCCAAATGATTGCGTAAATCAGTCTTGACAATATTTATCGCAGAAAAACTTCTTTCCAACAGGTAATATCGATACCAATTCTATAAGCTGATATACCAAAAGAAAATATATGTGATAATTCGTCTCCACCATCTTCTTTGCAAGACTTGCAAGACCGGGGCTATTAGCAAAAACTTCATCCAAAACGAAAAAAAATTAATATTTCATCTGTCTCACTTGAATCTTTACGTACATTATTCAAAGGTCAAACTTTACATATTTTGTTTTGTTATTTTTGTTACTCATTTAATAAAATAAAATGATCATATCGTATTTATTTTTATATCTTATAATGTAATTTTTTAATACTGCATATATAATTTTATTTTTAAATTTTAAACTACAATGAAATAAATTAAATTAAAAGTCACGTGTAAGAGCAACTCCAATGCATTGGCTATATTGTAAAATATACACTTTTTACACTTTATTGTTCATTTTATCTCACTCCAAGGGATAGTGTAAATGTGATGATAAAATGCACTATAGTGCAAAAAGCAACCCACACCTCTTATTTCTACAAGCTCCTGTAGATAGGGAAAAGGATTTTTAAAATTACTTTAGGGCCCCTTTTATCTCTCGACACCCCCTCACCCTCCTCTCTTTATCATTTCTAGTATCTCCATGAATCCAAAATCACCCGTGTTGTGCTCATTCCCTTTCTCAGGTAAATTGCTAGAATTTATATTAATTGTATTGATCGCTCATTATGAAATGGAATGACCACCAAAAAAATTAAAAAATGAGCTAATTATTTAGATATTTACTTTTAAATAATATTATGGAATTTTTAACAATAGATTAATTAGATTATAGAAAAAAATTGATTCAATTTTACACATAATAAAGGTGATTATAAAAATAAAATGCTCTTATTATAAATAATAATTATTATGCATAAAGAACTCAAATAAATAAAATATTACAAAAGTGTATAATATAAAAGATTTGATTGGAATGAGTATAAAAAAGTAAATGTTTAAAACAATGTTGATAGTGTAAAATTGCATTTACACTAGCAACTTTTACCCTATCCCTTGAAAATGCTCTAAATAACAATTGCCTTCTAAAAATAATGTTGACTGGTTTGAACCTCTCTATATTCTAATTGGACCCCGTCCGGTTTCACCAATCATAACATCACTAACGGCGTCACCTGGTAGTCTCGGCAGTCGGAAGGTTGCACCGCCAGTGGCGCCAATTCAGTCCGCCGGTAAAGCAGCGCCCGCACTTTCCAAGACGAAAGTCCGCCGGTTCAACTAGATCCACTTCCTCCTGCGGCGGCGGCGAGGAAAAGGGATGGGAATTTGGGGTTTCATCAGCTCCACCGCCGATTCAGTGAAACGAAACACGCCCGGTCCAGTCAAGCGAGCATGCACCGCCTCCTACACCTACTCATCCCTCGCCGTCGGGAAGATCGGCTACGCCTGCGGGCTCGTCGTCGACGTTCGCCGGCTCAACCCGGCTCAGTATATCCCCGACTCCGAAACCCGCGCTAAGATCGCCGTCTTCGCCACCAGGTTCGCCAAAAACGCCGCCGTTTACACTGTCAACGAAATCGCCAAAAACAACCCCGGTATCTTCTACAAATTACCACTTAATCTCAACTTTTTATTACTGTTATGAATCTGTGCTGAAATGCAATTTTGTCCTTTTATCATCCAGTCTGTTTTAATGGTTTATTGTGCTCTACATTTTGCTTTTACTCTATCATAAACAAGGTTTCACATTTTTAACATTTTTTTTTGTTTGTTACAGAAAAAGTGTCTTGGTTCACACATTTCTTTTCTTCTTTTTTTTTTCACAAAACTGAAAAACACATTTTCATCTTTATGAATAATCTTGCCCAGACAATTATGTAATCATATTTTGAGAGAAGGGTGTATATGCTATGGTTTGAATGAAGTAACTTAGAGTACATAGTAGCATTGAATGTAATATAAATGGATTTACTTCCCTTGTTTGGAAGATTGTCACGAATGGCTGGAGATGGGAGCACATACTTAGGCGGGCGGGGATGGAGAAACATTAATTTTTCCAAATTTCATTGAGGATTTGGTCGTGAAGACGCTTCCGAATAACCAAACCAAAATCATGTTTTTGGGATGGGAAACAAGAGTTACTTGAAGAATCTGTGCAACATAAGTGAGTGAAGAGTTACAGATTGTAATTTGTCGCACTATTGGCTGGCTTGTGTACTATAAATACCCTCTCCGTCCCTCACACACGATTCTTACGTTTCATTTCTTTCTACTCCATAATTTTGGTATATTATATTGATTATGTCATAATTTTGGTGGATTAACATCCATCAAAAAATGTGGGGGGAAATGATTTCTGTTCAATTCAGTTCCATTCCACTTGACTCAATTGAGTGCTGGCAGTTAATTGGATTGTTATAATGCTATGCAGTTTCAAAGGCTGTTGCTTCCACTTATAAAAAAAACCATCCGCGAGTTGGAATGTGAAAATCACAAAGACAAAAAGGATCAAAGAGTCATGAAACATGTTTCTGCTGCTTCAACTAAGAACCATGCTGATGTTGAACCGACTGAGCTCCGGGAACCAGAAGTCAAAGACAAGCTAAGGATGTTCCTGCCAGTGAGAGAGCTCGCAGCCAGTCGGGTCTTTAATGAGTTGATCATTCTGGACATACTTCGCGCAACACATAATGATCATCACTCAACACGGCAGGATATTCCGTGAGATAAGGCTGGTGTGGTTGAAGTCTGATTTGCCCTTGTGTGGTCTGGTTTGGCTGTGTTTGGGTTTGTAGTATCTGGGATTCTGGGGAACATGTGTGCTATGTTTATGTGTTATGTAAAAAAAAGTGTCTGCTTTGGTCCTTTTTTGTGTTCTATATCATGTGATGGGTTTTTGTGCTTTGGATCAGAGCACATTGTAAGGCAAGTCATAAGCCTATCTTCTTTGGGATGCTATATATATAATCCCAACATTTCTTATTATCAACTACTACATCTACCCCTTCCTCTCAAGATGTATGTCTAATTTGATTTTATAGTGTTAAATTGGGCTAATTTTGTACATCAACAACAAACAACATTACTCCACTGACTCAAAGGCTCCCACCCATTGCAGGGTAAGGGGGTCAGATTACGCAGTCTGACCCCTATGTTAAAACATAGAACGATTGATTCCAGATGACCAATGTTGAGCGTTGAAAGTTGCATTGAATAAACGTTAATTTATTGTCAAAAAAAAGCACAGATAATTCAATAGCCATTTTGTTTTATTTTATCTTACTCTAAAGCCAAATAATAGTGAACATTTGACTCCATTGAAGAAAATGGAAAAGGCTAATGTTGTACATCAGTTAAATAAAAAACACGTAGTATGTTAATACTTCGTATAAATTAATTATAAATTTTAATTTCAAGATAGTCAGTCGATATTTTTAAAAGATTGAGTGAATTAAACTATTCTTAACCACATTAAAATTTAAAATACTTAGGGGCTGTTTGGCAACTTCTGAATAGGTAAGTGCTGAACCAGTAAGAGGTCTGAACCATTAAGTGCTGAACCAGTAAGAGGTATGAACCATTAAGAGCTAGTATATTGCTTAATTATTCAGAGGCAAATGTCTGATCAGTTCAGATAAAAGGTCTTAACCATTCAGACTCTGTATAATACTTAACCATTCAGAGGCAAATGTCTGAATCATTCAGACATCTGAACCATTAAGAGGCTGAAACAAACAGTCTGAACCATTAAGTGTTGAATCATTCAGACATCTGAACCAGTAAGAGGCTGAAACAAACAGCCCCTTAGTAAAAAATAGCTTTAAAAATATTGAAGATTAATTTTTTGGGCCATTATTAACATCCAAATTTCCGTTTCTACTAGTAGCTCTAAAACAGTGATGAGCAAAAAGACTAGGATTGAAAAGATCGACCAGGATAGATTGGGATTGAGATCTGAAAATATGGGACTAATGTGGCCCTTGAGATCGGTCCGGTCTTGGACTAATGTGGCCCTTGAGATCGGTCCGGTCCCGGACTGGAAAATCTTTTCCAAAAGACTAAACCGGGACTGGACGAGGACTGTAGATATAACGTATTTGAAATATAACTTTATTCATGTCTATTTGTACTTTTAGTTTTTATAGAACTATATTTATCCTATCAATATAGGGCATAGTGCAACACATAAATTTGTTTAAAATTTAGAAAAAAGTGTTAAAAAAATCTCATACCTATAAATACAGACTTTAGATTTTTTTCATTAATTCTATCTAACTTCCATCTCACATAATAATATTCATGTTGCATAATTATTATAAATCAATGACATATAGAAAAAAATTAAATAATCAAAAATATGATATTTTTATTTTTTAGGAGTATTTTTTGAAGAACAAAAATTTAATAATTTTACATATTAAGGATCAGACGGGTCCTTATGGGACTACCTGGTCCCAAAATGTCCCTGTTTTTTCATGAAGATTATGAGCATGTTTGGAAATAGCGTTAGAGCTTAGCATTACCGTTTTGATAAAATTTTAATAAAGTAAATTGCTTTGAAAACATTAACATTAAATACTATCCGTAGATAATCTTTTGAAAACACTAACACTAATCTCTAAACTTATTCTCAAATAAGCCATATACTAACCTTTCAATGACCAACTGGTTCCTCCTCCTCTCCACACTCCACCCAGGAATCATGGCATTCGTAGCTGCCAGCCACCGCCTCAGCGGCCTCAGGAGACACAGTGAAATCGCAAAACGCGTCTCAGTTCCCTGCTTTTCCACCGCAGCTCAACCCAGTTCTTCGCCTGAGACGCCCCCGAAACCAGTTCCTGATTCCCCTTCTCCCATTTCCCTGTTAGTCTCACTTCTCCTGAAAACAGACCCACACGATTGGACTTCCAATCCGGAGCTCCATGAGTTCCTGCGCAGTTCTCCTTCTCCCAACTCCGTTCTTCAAATCTCCCGTCAATTGGGAACGGCCGAGAAGGCGCAGCAGTTCTTCAACATCTTCAGAGCCCAGACTTCACCTTCTCCCCATCACTCATTTTCCGTATCCCTAGCGTTCCAAGCTATTCTCGAGCACACATCCCGGGAGTCTGGGAGCTCACCCGCTAAGCTTTACGAGCTTTTTTGCTCCGGTAAAGAGATTGGAATCCCCCTGTCTATCAATTCTGCTATGATGCTGATTCGTTGCTTTACAGGAGCCGGAATGTTCCAGGAGTCCCTACATGTTTTTGACGAACTTTGCCCAGAATCGAGGAACGAAATTGTGGTGAAAACGCTTTTGGTTGCTTTGGTCAGAAGGGGGTGTATTGATTATGCTCTGAAGGTGCTCGACGAAATGCTCCAACCGGGTGTGCTTTTCCGGCCCAACCAGAACACCTTGGAAATGCTGCTGTCTGAGATTTGGAGGACGGATGGGAGAGGCACAGAAGCTTCGATTGGGGAGGATGGAATATATGAGCTTGTTTCAAGATTTGGAGACCATGGGCTGTTCCCGGGTGATATCTGGACATGTAAATTGGTGAACAGGTTTTGCTGGGGTCGTAGATGTTACCAAGCTTGGGACTTTCTTCACAATATGATCAGGTCCGGCGCTTTGGTGAGTACCCGTGCTTGCAATGTCGTTCTGACAGGGCTTGGCAAGAAGCATGATTTTCAGAAAATGAACATGCTTACAAGGGAGATGAAGGAAAAAGGGATTGCACCGAATGTGGCAACATTTGGGATTCTGATCAACCATTTGTGTAAGCTCCGTAGGGTCGATGAGGCATTGCAGATTTTTGAAGAGATGAAGGGTGGGAATGAAGGCATTCCTTGTGTTCACCCTGATACAGTCATCTACAACACTCTGATTGATGGGCTGTGCAAAGTTGGGAGGACAGAAGAAGGAGTGGCATTGATGGAAAAGATGAGCTCGGAGGAGAATGGGTGTGCCCCTAATGCTGTTACCTATAACAGTCTGATCAATGGGTTTTGCAAAGTCAGAGAGATTGAGACTTCTGTCAATCTCTTCCTCCAAATGACAAAAAATGGAATAGTACCAAGCATGATTAGCTATAATACTCTGCTTGATGGCATGTGCAAGCACGGAAGGGTTGGTAGCGCAATGGATTTCTTCAACGAAATGAAGGAGAAAGGTGTTAAGGGGAATGCGGTTAGTTACACCATACTCATTACGGCTTTCTCCAGTGTCAAAAATATTGAGAAGGCAATGCAATTATTTACCGAAATGACAGAAAGCAGATGTCATGCTGATGCAGTCGTATACTACAGCCTGATATCCGGGCTAAGCCAGGCTGGAAGAATGGACGATGCTTGCCTTGTTTTGTCAAAGATGAAAGATGCGAATTTTTCGTTAGACATAACCGGTTACAACATTCTCATTGCTGGGTTTTGCAGGAGGGACAACTGGGAAAAGGTTCAAGAGTTGCTTCAAGAATTAGAGCAAAATGGAATCAAGCCTGACTGTGTCACATTCAATACACTGATATCATTCTTTTGTAAGAAAGGGGACCTCCCGAAAGCCCAAAGATTGATGAAGAAGATGAAAGAGGATGGCATGGTACCCACAGTCGTCACTTATGGAGCAGTGATTCACGCGTATTGCGCGGGGGGTAAAATGGACGAAGCCATGAAACTGTTTGAGACCATGTGGTTGAGCTCCAAAGTGTTGCCCAATACAGTGATATACAACATATTGATAGAGTCACTATGCAAGAGTGACAAAGTTGAAGATGCTCTCTCTTTGATGAATGATGATATGAAGGCCAAGGGTGTCATGCCTAATACGACCACGTATAACTCAATCTTCAAAGCTCTCCGAGAGAGAAACTGGTTCGAAATGGCCTTCGAACTAATGGACCAAATGTCTGCAAGCCTCTGCGACCCTGATTATGTTACCGTGGAAATTCTCACCGAATGGCTCTCTGCCATTGGCCAAACTGACAAGTTGCGAGCTTTTGTCGAAGGATATCAGGTTTCAAACTCTGGTGTGTGATGGGCTAACAGATATTTCAATATAAGACTTGATTCTAAACCAAGATTACACCTTTATTTTAAGCTTAACAATTATTCGGTAGGTATATTGATGGGATTGTTTCTTTCAATTGGAAAGAGGTTAGCAGTGTGTACAAATCACTATGCTCCATGTTTGTATGTGTGCACAGATAACGTTACGTTGAATAAAACATGGAGCATCTAACATTTTTTTCTAAGATATTCGTCTGAGTTTTGTGTTTCATCCTCAAGTTTGTACACTGCAAAATCCAAAACAAGCAAGAAAAGGTACTTCCTTTCATAGGCCATGTTCTCTTCAAGTATTGTTCTTGTTGAAACCATATCATATCAGAACCAATCGAGGTGAAGAGAGCACGGCCATGATTAAATGTTCAAGTCAATTGCTTTAGTTTTATTATTATTATTATTATTATTATTATTATTATTATTATTATTATGTTTTTTCCTAGAAAATTACTCTGGAGTACCTTCAATCTCTTAATAATGACTTTCAGGTCCCACATTATCTGAAATATACTCCGGAGTATCCTCGATTTTTTGGTAAGAATTCTCAAATCCCATATTATTTGAAAAATACTATAGGGGTCCTATGACTCAAAAGTTTTAGAACGTTGACAAATACTCCGTACTAAACTTTACCTTCATAGTTATTATTTTATTAAATTTAAATAAAGTCCTTCAATTTCTCAAAGTAAAACAACTTTCATTCCTAACGCCTAAATAGACGAAATGTACCCTTGAAGTATAATATCACAAATTTTAAGGATCTCAAAATATATTTCGGATAATATGGACTTGAGAATTCTTAGCAGAAAATTGAGGATACCCCGAATATATTTCACGGGACTTGTGAGTCATTACCAGAAAATCGAGAGTACCCTAGAATAATTTTTTGGTTTTTTTTGCAACCTTTTCTATTTGTTTATTGCTCTCATACACATAGTCTTCAAAATCGGACCGTAATCGAATCGGTCAAAGTACTGGTTCACTAATTGAAACAGTGGTTTAAGCATACTTTAAAAATTTTGAAGTATGTGTGTCTGTATTGACACACACACACATGTACATGCATACATACATACATATAGACACACACACTTCCTCATTTATAAATACCGAAAGAAAGTACTCCGTAATTTATAACATTTGACTAAAATTATACTCCGTATTAATATACTTGAGTTATTTTACAAAGTAAAAAAATAAAATATACGTATTTAAAAAAACAATATTAAAAATTTTTTAAATGTAGAGTTGATTTTATTTTTTTAAATAAGTTATCTAATATTAAAAAATAGTCAAATGAAATATTTGCATGATATACATTTTGTAATAATATCAATTTTATCAATTATATTTTTAAAATTAAAAAAGAAATCTTTACACAATTTTTTTTAATTATGAAATATTATAAAAGATTAGGTGAATTTGTAACCAAAAGTACCCTAGCTTGGATAACTAGGAATTTAACTAAATGTCTAAGGGATCTTGAGTTTAAATCTTCATGAGTCATGGCATATGTTTTTAGGAAAATATTTTTACGATACTTAAAAATAGAATGAATATAAATATGTACTCAGCAGATATCATATTAACAACAAATTATAAGATCATTTAAAAAAGAGTAAAGGGAGTTTATATTTCTGAAAGAGCAAACACTGCCGGTGGGCGTTGCGCAATTGACAAAAATAGAGAGTGTCAAGAGGTAAATCTGAATTTGATTATTGACAACTGCATTGAGAGACAACTTAAAGTCTAACTTACCTCCTGCCAATGATCGTCCGATTGGGTCTGAAGAGTCTTCGAGGATGAAGTTCATCTTTTTTTTTATACAAAAGGACAAGCACTCTTAAGTCTCCAATATATTTAATTTACTATAAATTTAATACTCCTTCCGTCCATAAATAAAGTTCTAGTTGCGCGTTAGAATGTTTGACTGAACTTATTTTCAAATTATTTTATATGAAACATGGTATAAAATTTAAAAAATAAAGGTGATATGACCATATTATTTTATCAAATAAGACACGAAAATAGGCCAACAAAATGAATAAAATTTGACCTCGTGAATAATGAACGAGACGGAAAGAGATTAATAAAAGTCATCTTATGATATAAGTTTAATATACGGAATATTAATTTTTATAACATTTATTTATTCAAATTATATTTAGTTTCTATTCAAATTCTACTACGAACATTATACGACGTAGTATTTTCTCTACAAATAAACATATCAGTTCCTTAATGTGGAGGGAGTGAAAATAAAAGAAAAGCACTAAAGCAGGGACGCGTAATGCAAATACCTTAAAATAAGTCGGACGACGGTGTAGTTTTCCTCCATTTCTCTCCCAGCTGAGTTTTCACGGCGGCCTTGCGCGACGGAGAGAGAGGAGAAAGATCGGCGGTCCATTCATCTTCGTCCCCGTTTATAATCCTTCTTCTCTCTCCGCCGGTTGAGCTAAGCAATTCCCCATATCAATCGCCATGAATGAGAAGGCTAATGTTTCCAAGGAGCTGAACGCCAAGCACAGAAAGGTTTCGACCTTCGCATTTCATTTCTTATTTGCACCCCTATTCTTAGCTGATTTCTTCTGATCTCAGATCAGATTTGATGATACAGTGCCCCGCCTCATGTTGTTTGATCCATATGCATAAACTGCTAATATTGCTTCAGATTTTAGCGCAGTTAGCTTTAAAAAATCATTCTTGGTGGGAATTTTGTTTTATGGGATTTCGGGTTCCCGCAGGATTGGTTATTTGTGATACTACAGCTAAGATTTATACTATGAGACATATATTATGCGGCATTCAATAGATCAGATTCAGAAATTTATTGATTAGAATTATATAGTTTGGAGTAGTTTATAATTGTTCATCGTGTTTTATAGACTTGTAGGATATTTTCCTGCCTAGTGGTTTGCAATTCGCAATCAAATCTCCATTCCAGAAATGCATATACTACAGTATATCATATGCTAGACTTAGAGTACTATGACTTCTGGAGGAATGTGAAATTTAATGTGTTGTGGGTGATTGGTCATCTATATGGTTTATTCCCAGGGGATCCACAGTTGGTATGCCCACAATAATCATTTCGTCAACAAATTGAACATATTATAATCATTGAGTATATTGAGGTCCTATTACAATTGGGAAAACACAGTAATACTTTCTAAATATTTATATATAGAATGCATATTCCTCAAAAATCAACCCGTTTCTACTGGGCCAGCCTTTCTTTTGCATCTTATATTGTTAAATTATTCATATGCACACAAGTCATACATTTTTTGAAATTTCGACAGTTTCGCTATGCAGCTTTTCTAGATCATTTTAGATCCATGGTAATAACTGGCTTTTCTAACCGCAAAACATGATTCTCAAGTCAACTTGTCAATGTCATTTCTAGTATCTCAAATACCAGAAGGCGTAAGTTTAATATTTTCATCAATGGAAAGTAATATAATCGGCTTAGCCTGCATGGTTTTGCAACTTGCGTTTTTCTTGTGCCAAGAGGCCGACAAGTGTGATACTGTGATGGAAGGAAATGCAATTCTTATTGCTGGTAACTTCTAACTATCAGTTCACCTATATCAAAGGTAGAAAATATTATTCAAAAACTGAAACCAGTTTAATGTGGAGGAGCCTGATGACCTAAATGGAGTACTGGTTACACATAATGACATGTGATTGGTTTTCTAGTAACATTGTTATATGAAATTTAGGTGTTTCTATTCTCTTGCCACTCTCTCTTAGAAACATTCTTTTACACTCAAAGTGATGTTTTCTAGCACCTTATTGCAGATTCTAGAAGGTCTTCTTAAACTGCCCGAGAACAGAGAATGTGCTGATTGCAAAGTAAAGTATGTGCTTGCAGGATTTAATTTAAAATTATTTATTTATGTAGCATGTGTGAGTTTTCGTTTCGAGGCTCCTGGATTTCTGGATTTATCAAAAAGATGGAAAAACATGTTGGCATCTTATTGAACTTCACCTTGAACACGAGACTTGATCCTTGTGGCAATTGAAGATCAGTTTACTGATTTAGAATCTGTTTCATATTTTTGTTCATTTGATGCAGAGGTCCAAGGTGGGCTAGCGTGAATTTAGGAATCTTTATATGCATGCAGTGCTCAGGGATCCACAGAAGTCTTGGAGTGCACATATCTAAGGTGATCACTATATTCCCTATGGCACAAGTGGGATGTCTTTGACTTGTCAAAACTCAAAAGTACATGTATGAAGGAGCACTCAAGTGCTAAAATCTAGTCTAGTGTACATAATAAGGAGTATTAAAATTAAAAGGGTGCTTTTGTAAGGCGTTCTGTACTTATGTTAAATTGTGAGTTTTGTTTAATATTTCCAAAAAAAAAATCAGGTTAGATCTGCCACACTTGATACATGGCTTCCAGAACAAGTTGCATTTATCCAGTGTAAGTTCCCCTCTATTTGGCATGATTGAAACTTTTAAATGACCCGTTTATGATAATTGATGAGTATATGTGACATTTTGTTTATATATGAAGCAATGGGAAACGAGAGGGCAAATTGTTACTGGGAAGCAGAACTACCTCCAAATTATGACAGGGTTGGAATTGAAAATTTTATTCGTGCAAAGTGCGTGCCTTTTTGCTAACCATGTCATCAAACCTCTCTTAGCTTAATCTGTTAGATGCTTGACTGATCAATGGCTTTCTCTTCTATGAAATACTAAGATATGAGGAGAAGCGATGGGCTCCTAAGGATGGGAAACATGCATCACCATCCAGTATACGTGAAGAGAGACCTCCACTCCAATGGGGACAATGTAGTGATAGAAGTGGGCATGGACATACAAACAACTCTGTTCATTTATCAAATGACAGGAAAAATGTTCATACACCAAGTACTAAGCATGGAACTTCATCAGCTAGAGTTAGTATACCAGTGCCGCCCAAAGGGCCAGAAAACGTATGCCAACTTATACTAAAGCCATTGCATTTTACTACTTTACTACTACGTATTAAGTACTATTTTCCTGTAGTATATGGGTTTCCTTGTGGAATCTTGGTTATTAAACTTGGTTATGGACCTCAAGTCCAGGTCCCTGTCAAATCTTCCGAACAGGGTTCCCTATGAAGTTTATTGTGCTTCAGTGTCTTTTAATGCTGAGTTTTAATACTCCGTATTCAGTTGTTGCAGTTACTTGTCACTAATCATGCTCCTTTCCTGAGCTGGCTTCTAGTACCTGCTACTTCGCTAGTAGTTGAAGTGTTGAACACCATTTCACAGGACAAATATAAGGATTTATTACTGGCTTTCAATATAATGATATTACAGTCTAACTATAAATTTATGGAGTTTTATGTATTTGCTGAGCAGAGTAGTTAAGTTTTTAAGTCCATGTCTATGCCATTTTAAGCCTGTGCCATAGAGAGTAGTTTGATGTATACAGAATTGAATAATGTATTGTGGACCTTACATGTTCATGCCTATGGCAGGCAGCTCCTGAGTTGACATCACAAGAAAATCAGAAAGCAGAGCCGGTTACAACATCTGAACCTGCAAAACCAGCCACTGCCCCTAAACTTGATTTTGCCACCGATTTATTCAACATGCTTTCAATGGATGACCCAACTGAAGATGGCTCAGAGGCAGTTGCTTCAGATGATAATATGTGGGCAGGTTTTCAGTGTATGTTGAGATTGACTTTTCATTCGGTATCCCTTCTGTTCAGTTTTGGGAGGTGTTTTTGGGGGACGTCTTAGTGCATGAAAACTTGAATTTACAGATGCAAATAGGGTATGGAGACTCCATATCTTAATTTAATATTTATGTAATTTACAGCTGCTGCAGCATCAAAAACGTCTGAAAAAACAGGGGTAACAAAATCTGAAGAAATCAAGCCCCAGTCATCATCCGGTGTTGAAGATTTATTTAAGGATTCACCACCAATTGTTCCTGCTAACACATCAGATAAGCCTAAAAAAGACGTTAAGAATGACATTATGAGCCTTTTTGACAAGGTACTAATTCCTTCGTCCCTAAATAAAGTTCATGTTTTTATTTTTGTCAGTTCCTAGATAGTCTCTTTTCCTTTTTAGGTAAAAGAAAATAATCATACTCCGCGCTTCACTTTAATACTCTTATTTAACATCCCTGTCTACCACCATTAATTACACCCTACTACATCACAAATAAAAATTTGGATTCCAAGAAACCTAAATTTAATTCATAAAAACTGTGAAAACCAAACCAGAAACTTATAGGGACGGAGGCTATTATGCTAGGATTAGTTTATTATACTGCTTGTATTGTTTAAATTATTTAAACTATATCACTTTCTCCATGGCAGTCCAATATGGTGTCACCATTTGCAATGCATCAACAGCAGCTTGCTATGCTGGCACAACAACAGTCTCTGCTAATGGCTGCTGCTAATGTTACTGGTGGTGCACTAAAATTGCATGGGAATTCACAAGTGACAACTGGAACCACCAATGTATCAAGCCAAGGCTGGCAGAATCTTGGTTACCACCAGTTTCCGGGGATTATGATGCCCACAGCTGTAAGGAGTGAATCGGGAAATTATTTGCAGGTAAAAGGAGTATATGCTAATAGTGGTCTCTTGGAAACCATTGGATTTGTTCTAAAACCATTCTTTTCTTTCCTATTAAACAAGGCGGACACGACACTCACTCCAGACATAGCTGGGAACTCAATTCCGGTTTCAACTTCCAGGTATGGTAATATTGCTGTCTATGTTAAGTATATGTAAGAAAAAATCCATTAATCCGCTTAGCTTGTCTTTCTACCCCATTGATCCTTCAACTTCTAACTCAAACCCCATTTTTGCATCTACGTCTCATTTTTGTTATGCTTGGATTGGTTGCATTTTTTGGACTTGTTCATGAATGGATGATGAAGAGTTTGCTCTTTGCAGTTCTGCAGCAACTTGGATTTTCTTGTCCATTTTTACTCTATTAGTAGCATTGTTAAGGGGTTCACAGGATCAGTTAGATAGAATAGGAAGTGTGTGTTTTAGTTACTTCTCTCTTGTCGTTATGTGCAGTTTTATTTGGTTGCTGTTGTAGTAGTTTTACAAAGTATTGTAGGTTTACCTAAGCAACCGTAATGAGGAAACTTTATTTTGGTGATTAGTAGTGGGTTTGTTGATGAAGATTTGCAGTCTTTTAGGAAGAGTCATTTTCTTATAATGTTCTGGTTTTCTTTGCATTTAGTTTTGCAAAATTGTGTCCAACTTATCATAGAAGCTTTATCTTGCTCTCATATACTAAACTCAGTCGAAATAGAGTCAAGATGGGATACACAAATACACAATATTGGGTTTGGCATGGATTGCACAAATGTGATCCAAATGTCTTGTCTTATGCCATGGATTGCTCTTTGTGCTCTCAATAGTCAATAGGTCAAGTTAGAGGTCAAGATGCCCAATAAGACCAGCAAGCCAAGTTTATGGTCTTAAAAATGGGCCCCTGCCATATACTTTATGTACTTTTGCAGAGGGCCTTGACACATTTGATTTTGTTTACTGTGCAGCATCTACACCGCGGGACAAAGTTCCTCAACCAATGGTGTTGTGCCACCTGGAGCAAGTAAGCCGGTAGAGGCCTCAGTCTCTTCCATTCCTACGCAGACCGCTAAAGATTATGACTTTTCATCCTTGACACAAGGAATGCTTTCAAAACGCTGAAAGCGCCCCAAAATGGAAATGTATGATCCTAAAATTCAACTCATAGCAATATATACAATGAGAGTCTCAATTTAAAGGAAACAAATTGCAGCAATGTTGTATTTTCATTTTGTTTTATTTTTCTTCCCTCCCCTTTTTGGGCATGTTGTGTTTCCCACTATGTCATTAAAAGAACGCGTGGTTTTATATTTTTTTTTGAACAACCTCGTTATTGTGGCTTCCCAAACACATCTTTTATATTAGAGTACATAGCCATGAGACGATGAAAACTGTGACTAACTATATACTGCATACATTGGTGTTCCAGACCATCAAGTGGATCAAACTCCTCAACGTCCATGGGAATGACGAAAACTTTGGGCAAAAATCTGCAAAGACCGAACTCATGTTGAGGACGCAGCTGAAGTTTTACGCAATCCCATCATCACCTTCCCTCCTGGTTTTGTTTTGCAAAATGTTACTGGACAAACACAACACATTATTAAGCAGATACTCCATATAATACTAAAAGGATGAAAATCATTCAAAAAAATAGTAGTAGAATACCTAATCGTCGTTTAATTTTTGGGGTCATTTGGTTTCGAGGGATGTTTGGATTGTGGGGATGTGTTTAGTTTATGTTTGATTAAAATAGTTGTGTTTAAAACGCCACATTCTGATCATCTTTTATTATCAAATTCTAGAAACATTTGATTCAAAATCGATCGCCTCTATTGTCAAGTGTTCTTGAATATGCATACACATTGAAAGAAAGTTAAAAAAACATAGAAATTTGCTGTGAGTTTTTTCAAAACTTACCAGTATCGCCTGCCTGCCATTTCTGGGCAATAACGTAATCTCTGAGCCCGTCAAGAACATACATCGTATTTGTAGGTTTAGAACAACAAGAGAACAAAAACTCCCATGGTTTGCCGTCTGTGTCTAGAACACTAATTGGCATCAAATGTTGCCCCTGAAGCTCTGGAAATAATGCCTGCAACCAGAAAATTCTTTACCATGACAAGAATTAAAATATTAAGGAACAAAATTTAGAGGTTCAATGCAGTTTTCCAAATTTAGAAATAGAAATATTATGAACTCACCTCTGCACACTTATTGGGTAAGACAAGGCGCGATAATTTCAGGTCATTGTCCGACAATGTCTTCTCGTATACAGGAGGGGCAACGGGGCCGAGGCTAAGATTTAGTTAAGAACAACTTATGACATTTGATGGTTACATAGGACTAAAAAGGATGAACTTTATACTAGGATCCCCTAAGACAGACAAGACAATAGCCCATAAATTGACAAATGAAGAACATGATTGTCATTTATCGCAACGAGTCAAACCCAAGCAACTACTCCAAGATTTATGGACTGTTTGGCGAGGGTTCTTTGGGAGTGTGGTGAGTTTTCTAGAAGGAAAAACGTCAAGTAATATCTAAGTCAAATACGGAGCAACTTAAAAACTACACGTACACTCTCTACTTATTCAAGACTTGGCTTCCAAACGGATCACAAAATGAAGACAAAGTAGTGTCCATCCTTTTGAATGAGGACTAAAGTAATATGAAAAAAATGTAACGATAAGGATATTTTTTGCAAGTCTGATGTAGCTCTGATGAAGCGGAGACATGAGGGCGATATTGTAAATCTCTTCTGTTCTTCGTGGCGGGATCCCTTTGAGTATCATCAAGCATTACTGATCTTTCGTGAAACGAGCCATCATTTCTTGCCTGCATTGTCAAGTTTTATACTATATTACTATTAGTTCAAAAAGACTTATATGGCCTAGGGAGGGAAAGAAAATATACTCAGTATCAAAATTTATGAGCTAAATCATGTCAACAATGAGGTAATAACATTAAAATAAATTGCAAAAAAAATACCCAAAAAGGAAGAAAAGAAACAGTATAGCTCAAAGTAGGAGTCCTTACCAGGATAAGGCTAATTCTTGAGCAGTCAATGCACATGATTCCACCAAAATCCACAGGCAAATATGTATTGAATGATACAATGCATCCACAATGGACCAGCTGCCAAAATATATACACAAAAAAATTAATTATACTGCATTATCGTCCTTCTAGAATTGAGCCAAAAGAACAATGTTTTAGTTTCAAGAACATAAGGGACTAAATAGAAAAGCACATAAACTTCTTCTTCTTTTTTGCTTCTTACTCTCAACTCTCAAGTAAGTTTTGGGCAGTAAACGCAGCAATGTATCTGAAGTCTAACGGAAACAATTTCTCTGTTTTTTTACACGAAAAAGAATGTGTACGCATTGTTGTTGTCTATCGCCCGTGCAGAACTTGTCATTCTTACCTATTGTCTTGTCACTTATGATAGTTGAAAAACATATGGCACTCACCTTCCCACAAGCTTCGCAGTCCCTCCAGCCTCCATCGTTTGAATGAAACACCTCACAGAATATCCCCTTCTCGTATGCAGAACTACATTCACAGAAGTTCAAGAAACGCCGGAATAAAGTTCTCTACTACTGACAGCTTACATACTTCATAGACTCATAGTTCATACAAAAACAAATACTCACCGTGCCCGGTCAATTATAGAACCTTATTTCGAGACAAAAGGAGCAAGAAAATGGTTCAAACTCAATAAATCAATTTCTTTAAAATTAAATTTGCTCGAGCCCTTTTTTGTTTATATGTTTTTAGTATATAAAGACTAACGGTTAGCAAATCAATGTACATTTTTAAAAAAAATCAATCAAATTTGAGTTTAATTTCTACTCCCTATACACTTTTAAAAATCATCTTCCTCAGCAACACTTTTAGTTTTCCGAATTCCAAACATAGCCATAGATTTGTGACACACAGAAACGGGGCATAACCGATTGCTTGGCGAGCAAGGAAACCCAAACCCCACAAAATGGTTCAAGAAATCCAAAGAATTCAAGTCACATAACCTTTTAATTCTTTCTCAAAAAGGTGTTAATAAAAGAAGGCATTGAAACTCTCTGCTGGAAATCCAGATGGAATCACGAGGGTTTCTAGATACATAGCCACATTACAAAAGTGAAACTAAATATTTAGAGGAATGGGAGTGGGCCGAGGAGGAGGAGGAGGAAGAAAAGGGGTTACCCGCAACGGTGGCAGAGCTGAGCAAACTCGCCGCTGCGGAGGCGCCACCCGTTTCTGAAGCTGTCTGTGGCGGAGGCGGCGGCGGAGGCTTTACACTGAAGGCAAGTCTTTCTTGAGGATGAAGCCATTAATCCCTGAAGGCCCCAAAGCAGAAACAGAGTCGATTGTTTTGTGTGAGTTAGCAAATATCCAAAGAAGGGAAAGTCTGTTTTGAGTTTAGCCAATCAAACATTTAAAAAAACATCACATTTGATAATAGTCTCTAGCTCGTCATCTTTGTTGTTAGTTTCATGATGTTTTAAAATTTTGACTACAAATTATAAAAAAACATATATTCAATTCTGATACTCATATGTCTTAAAATACTTTTTCTTTTAATTTACGAGATTTGACTGAAGTTCTTTTTAATTTAATTTATATTTGTTTTATTTTATCAAATAACCAATGAAAAACTGATCAAAATTAGATCATATGAATAGTAACTGAGAAGAAAATTTTTAAGAGAGAAGCTGGAAGGGTATAAATATAATATTAATAGATGGGAGAAAGACTAAAGTAGGACCAAAACATTGAAAATATACCAAAATAGGACTTCTATGTTTTTATTCCCGAAATAGGACTACATTACCAAACATGGTCATATACATTACCAAAAAAGTATAGTAATTTGCACATGTACACTGCCACATTACCACAATGCAAAGTCACATTACCACAGTGCAAAGTCTTATTCCGGGAAAAAAAACATGAAAGTCCTAATTTGGTACTTTTCTCTATGTTTTAGTCCTATTTAGGATGATTTCTATTAATAGATTCATTTCGAATCTTAGTTTTGAAATATCATATTTTTATATTTTAAATTTATATTGGATATAAATAAAGATATTAGTAATCAAAGTACGTGTTAGATTAGAGAAAGTGAAAATGAAAAAAGATATGAGACCAAGAGGGTACTAGGTATCAAATATCTCCCACGTTTGTAGTCTATATCGCAACTTGCTATCACTATCAGTCAATCACCATTGAAGGTGGTCTCACGTTTGGACTCACGAGCACTCGGACCTCATGGTCAATTTCATGAAAAGAGATGAATTTTACACCTAGTTCGGATAGTTGCAGGAGAGAATGTAAAAAATACGGAGTAGATCTCTAATCTCAAGCTAGTGATAGAAAATCAGATCCATCACTAAAATATCACCTAAATGTTAGTAAAACATATAGAATATACCAAAATAACAGTTTCATGTTTTTATCTTCAAAATAAGAGTTCATATTATCGTAATGTGTCAATGCATATGGACATTTCAAAATACTTTTTAATAACGTATATGATCATGAGTTCATGATTAACACTGTAAATACAATTTAACTCATATTTTGATGATAAAAACATGAAACTCATATTTCAATATATTTTTAATGTTTTACTAATACTTTAATATTTATCTCTATCAATAGTCCCAATAAAGATATTTATGCATAACATAAAAGATCTAATACAGCCTTCCCTTCACCACGTACATCTTTTGGCATATATGTAGTACTACGTAACTATTTAGCAATGCCCCCTAACCTCGCAGTCAATTTCGTAACTCTATATCTACCCTTTTACCGAGTATAAAGATTTTATAATATAATAATCATAATAATAATAATAATAATACAGATTTATAATAATAATAATAATAATAATAATAATAATAATAATAATAATAAGAACAACAACAACAACAACAATAATAATGATAATAATAAGGGCAATGCTAGGGGTACACCAAAGGTGTACCCCAAATGTACACCACCCCCTTCTCCACCACCCATTTTTATTTTATTTTTATTTATTCATTTTTTTTAAATTTATTGCCTTTTTTGTGGACAAGGAGGGGGTGGGGGACAAATGGGGTACACATTTGGTGTACCCCTAGCATTTTTCTAATAATAATAATACTCCCTCCGTCCCACTCTTTTTGTCCACTTTCATTTTTGCACATCATCCAATGCACTTCTTTAATCAATTTTATCTTGTAATTTGTATATTAAAAAATTATAAAAATTATATATTAACAATCTATATGTTAAGACAAATCAAACAAGATCACACATGACTATTTTTAGACTTACACATTGAGAGAATTTGATGAGTCAAAGTGCTTAGATGAACAGTTCCAAAAATCAAAACTGGACAAAAAGAGTGGGACGGAGTTAGTAATAAAATAACTTCCTAAACTTTAGATTCCTACCCCGATTTGGAAGCCAGAACCCCCCATCCCTTTATATATATGACACACGCACGAATCGAAAGGAAAAAAAGAAAAAAGAAAGAGAAGATATACGGAGTACGCATTCCGCCGGGAGAAGGAAAACCGCGGCGGAAGAGGGAGAGAACAGGGAGCCGAGCCCTGTTCAACGTTGCCAGGTAGGAAGCTTGAAACGTCAAACTTTTTTCATAATTTATTAATATACTATTTTATCTCCCACATTCCACAATTGATTTCGATTTTTGGATGTATAAATGTGTTCTTGAAATATACGATTTTTGGACTTGGTTATTATCCAAATTTGGATACTTTTAGGATTTGATCACCTTGCCTACTGCCATTACAATAATGGGAACCATTATTTCCTATTTGGTTTTTCAATTTCAAAGTTTTGAGAGTTTCAGTTTGCACTACTAATCAGTACTAGGGTTCCATTAGTTTTGATTCAGAGGATTAAAAGAACAATTTTCTTTTTCCCCAAAAGACATTCTTGCATCATTTTTCCTCAATGCTCAACTTCTATTCCAACAAATGAGGCCTAACTTTTCAAATTCTCATTTTCTTCTCTCTCTAGCTTTTTGAGCACAAGCGTACGAAGAAGATGGTTGGAAACCACTCTCTCTTGGGTGTCACCGAGGCTCAATATCAATTTTTAACCCAGCAATATCCCAGTGTGGAGAAATTCCACGCAAAATTGGCTAAAAAACATGCTGATCTTACAACTACTCCTAAGAAACTAATACATACGCATGTCCTTGGAACACCCCTTATTGAGGTATTGTGTGTGAAAATTGTCAACAATGAGGGGTCTGCCGGAGCTTTTCAAGTGTACGGTACAATCGTTCTGATTGATGGAGAAGGTGCTGCATTTAATCTCTATGATCGTCGGGAGGCAGATGCTGAGACTGTGACTGTGGGTGGTTCCTTGACCCTCGTCATGCCAGAGGGACGTGCTATGTGTGCATCTGGTCGGATCTACTTGCAAATCCAACTTAATGATGCAACTCAAAGAGCTGTGTTTGCCAATGGTCTTCACTCTTGGGATTACAATAGCAAGGATGACTATGATGTGGTCCAGACCAAGAAATTCGGATCTGCCGTCATGGAATGCATCACGTATCGTCACGCAGACATTGCCACTATTGACATCACTCTCGTCAGAGGAACATCACGGATGGATGATAATGGTTTTGGAGGAAGGATTGCGAATGGTGGTACTGTAGAAGAGGCTGATGTCTACGGAGAAGTCATCGCTCATTGTTGCAGGAATTACTCGATCACTCTTTTCAAGAGAACCGAAAATGAGTCTGTGAGACTGAGGCTTGGGAGCACGATCGAGTTGTTGAGACATGTCGTAGTAGTACCATCGTGCTCCTCACTTGTTGTTGTTCCAAACTTACGGTATCTTGATACCAAGGAAAATATTGTTTCTAAAATTGTGATGTTTGATGCTATACATGATAGCTTTGGCTTGGGGGTGGAGAGGGATGTTGATGGAGAAAATGGCCATATTTGTGTCAAGGTGGATTGGAGTCATGCTTATATGCAGCCTCAACTGAAAAGAAAGTTGAAAGACACAACCATGTCAGACTCCGAAGTGCGAAAAAGGGCTCATGTAAGCATTGTTCAATTGTTTGTGTGCGCTTGTCTTTTGTTATTAGTTGGTGTAGTGAGTTCCTCTTTCGTGTGATAGAGCTAAAGACTGCATGATATTGACCTTTCACCAACGCAATGTGTTTGGATAGATTGGGTTGTGTTGTAGTCTTGTCACTTGCAATTTTTTTGTCTGTTGTGCTGGGTTGTCATTATTATTTCTAATATTGTTGTTGTTGTTATTGTTACTACTACTATTGTTATTATTATTAGAAATAAATAAAAATAATCTCATTTGGATTTATCTTTCAACTCCAGTTGGCTTCTCCTGAACAAGATGTTGCAGACTTGAATGGTAATAGGTATGTTGCTCCTCTCTTTTTTTCCTATTCTGATTTACAGATTTGTAATGCTCATCATTTTGTTTACGTTTTCCTTATCGCATTTTTCTTTACCTTAGTTGGTTTTTTGATCTTTTGTCATGATCTGTTCTTTGCTTGAGCTTTGG